TACATGCTAGGCAAGCCCTCTACCAACTGCACTGCACTGCATCCTCAGTCCTGGAAATATTTTAATAAAAATCTTAGGACAATATTTGCTATTGTGGAACACCAGGCAAGGAATGGCAGCTGCTCTTTTGAATGGTCAACAACTGATACTGGAAGGTCTGCACAAGATTGCACTTAGGAACTTTGTATCATGGAAGGGGGAGGGGCTCATAAGACCACACCCTTCCCTAAGGGTTTTTCTTTGTTGTTGTTTTTTGGTCTTTTTGAGACTGGGGCTCCCTGTAGACCAGGCTGGCCTTGAACTCACAGAGATCCATCTGCCTCTGCCTCCCAAGTGCTGGTATTAAAGGCGTGTGCCACCACACCCAGCCTCTTCTAAGGATTTTTTTTTTCAAATTTTGTGTGTATGCATGTATTGCCTGCATGTAGGTAAGTGGGCCCATGTCGTGCAATGCCTGTGGAGGACAGAAGAGGCTGTTGGATCCCCTGGGACTGGAGTTATGGACAGTTGTTAGCTGCCATGTGGGTGCTGAGATTCAAACCAGGGTCTTCTGCAAGAACAGTCAGTGTTCTTAACCGCTGAACCATCTCTCCAGCCCTCCCTTAAGGATTTAAAAAAAATTCTTTTAATTGATTTTTTGTGTATCTCATACAGAAAGTCATCTTTATACCCCTTCCCTGTTGGCACCCTCCCATAGCGCCCTCACTGGAGTTCATACCTTTTGTCATTTGTGTTAAGGCCTGTCATGTCAAGTTAGTATCTCCAGATGTCCCTCAATGCAAGTTCATCCACTGGGGTCTAGTCAACTTATCTAGAGTCCCTCCCTTTAAGAAGATCAGCTCTTCCTCACCCAGCAGTAATCAGCTACCAATAATTCTTCGACTAACATTGGGGCCTGCTGCTCATTTCCACAGTTCTGTGCTGGGTCTTGTGTATGCCGACACCGTTGCTGTAGGTTCATATGAGAAGAGTCCCAGGAGCCTGGAGGCTCATTTCTGTAAGGTTGTGCACCTCCTCCCTGGCTCTTAAAATCTTTCCACCCCCTCTTCTGCAATGATCCTGAGCCCTGGGTGGGTGGATTTTAATATAGGAGTCCTGTTCAAGGACCCACAGTCTACAGATTCTTATTCTCTGCATTTTGGCCATTTGTGATCTTTTTCATTCCTGGCCCTCTGTTGCATAAGGGCACTTCACTGATAAGAGTTGAAAGATGCATTAGTGTTCTCTTCATCCCTTGTTCTATGTTCCCTGAGCCCTAGGTGTAGAGGTTGCATCCTAGATGTGCCACTTAGGCTTGGACAATTCACAGAGAATCTCTGTGTGTGACCAGTTGTAGAACTCTGTCATTATCTCTGTCTCTTAAAAAACAAGCTTCTTTGATGGGTGGTGACTGGGATACTTGTCTGTAGATTTAAGGATCCATATTACATTTGTCTAGGGATGTGACAGGCTTAGAGTTTTCTCTGAGATCTATGACCTCTCCAACTGTGTGTATTTGGCTAGGTTTACATTACTCGACATGAGTTTCCTCCCATTGAGTGGGCTTTAAGTC